GAGAAACATTCTCTCTAAGCTTATTGTGGGAGACCAAATTGTTTACTGAAATGGGCTAGATAAATACACCTCTAGACGAAACTCTTTTTCCAAAGTTCTTCATTAAAATTGAAGTAGAAAAAGTAAAAGAACTTTTTCGTGTTTTACTATGAATTCGGTCTGCATGCTTTCAACATGCCTTGACAAATGACAAGCACCCAAGAATCAAATATATAAAAGTTAAAACAAAAGTGTTCCATAAGAAAATAAAAATAATGACTCATAATTAATGAATCAGTATTTCATTAATGACATGACATCAATGTTTTAAAACCCGATTCAGATAGACCGGTTCAACCAACTTAACCAGGAACCGGAGTGTACGCCAAGTTTTAAAGGGATAAAACCAGAAATATGCAATTCACCTAGTATGACCACGGTTGGATCGGGGTTACTGTAGCTAACAGTCGGTCCAACTGGTTTTGGGACAAAACCAGGCTACTGCATAAAAAAATCCCCAATTCATTTTCATTCAATTTTCATTTTCTCAAATCTCAATTCGACGACATCTGATCGATTCTACCTCCAACGCAATTCATTTCTTCATCATCAATTCCTAAAATTAAAATCCATAAATTCTTTTCTTCAATTTCATTTCTTCATCTTCAATGTCAATCTTCGGTTCTTCATCGGCACTGGCTGGATCTCTGTAATATTGCTTCAAGAATGGTTGGCAACGCCTCTTCATTGCCTTTAAAATATTTCTCTATCCGCATTTTCAACTCTGATATCAAACAACAAACCGATTAAATCGCATATAATTTAAATCCTAGAAATCCAGTACATTTTTTTAATCTAAGCTTCGAATTTTTCAAAAATAAACTTCAGCAATACAAAATAAATCAAACCAAAAAACCTTTCATAAATCCTGGCCGAGAATTCTACCAGAAAAAATTTCAAATTCAATAAAATATAAATCAGACCCAAAGAGGAGACGAAGAGAAAAAGGGGGAGAAAAAGAAAAGAGGAAGGAAGAAGAGTAGAGGAAGGAAAAAGCAAGAGAAGAGAAGAGAAGAAAGTTACATAAGAGAGAGGGGAAGGTGACGAAGAGAAAGAGAAAAAAGAAGTTTACATGCTGCAGGGGCGTGTTTGTTTTATTTCAAACCTATTGGGACTGATGGAAATTTTAGTGGCCTGTCTATAAATTTCAAACTTGCAGGGACTAATAAAATTTTTCAAAGATGTATTTGCTGCCAATGTTCTGAAAACCGGGCCGAACAATGACCCGTTTAAGGGTTTGGTTTTCGGTTTGATCGATTTGACCGGTTGGATTGGTCGGTTGGACCATAATTTGTAAAAATCTTTTAGTCCCTGAAGGTTTGAAATTCATCAAAAACACCTCATAATACTCCCTTAAGGTTTGAAATCTATCTAAAACACCCTTTTTGCCTGAAGATTCTGGTGAGTGGTGGCGGCAGCGACGATCGACAGCTAATCGAAACTGGAATCTTGGGGCTTTTGATGTGTAGGTGTTGGCGACTCTGATGGTGGTACAAGGGAGTTCCATCGACGTCGGAACTCGCCAAAATCAAAAAAAGAAATCCGACGTAGCGTAAACTTTAGGTGGACGGCGATCGACGAAGGCTGGACAACAGCGACTGAAAATGGATGGGTTTGGTCGTGGAGATGCCATCCGTCGAATGGGGGGTGTTTTCTCCGTCGAAAGATGCCGGAATTCGGCAGGGTTTAGTTGCAATTGGACCGCGATTCGACAGTATTCCCGCGGTCCAACCGCGGTCCAATCCGGTTTAAATCAAACTAGCGGTTTTTTATATACATCGGACTAGATTTGCCACTGATTGCCGGTCGAACCGGTCCGACCAGGCGGTCCGGTCTGATTTTCAGAACATTATTTGCTGAACACTGATCAGACCAACCGGTCCGACCGGGCGGTCCGGTCCGGTTTTCAGAACATTGTTTGCTGCACACTGATCAAACCAACCGGTTGAACTGGTCAACTGGGACCCGAGCCCTTGATCGGGTCAATGCCTTGGCCGGGTTTAAAAACATTGGATGACATTCATGGCATCAATATGCTAGAAAAATGAACAATAATTAATCATAACATTTACACCATGAGTTCCATGTGCATACACAGCACATCATTTTTTTCTCAGTTAGTGGCGGAGCCATGAATTGGATTGAGGGGCAAAAATATCCAAAAATAATATCATTTAAATTTTTGTAACTCAATTATATAAAATATTTTATATCAAATTAATGTCCCATAATTTAACTTAAGAAAAATTAATAAAAAGAATATGGGAAAAAGACACAAAAATATACCTTTTCCAAATTCAAGTATAACTTAACAAGAAAAAAAAAAAAAAAAAGAATAAAAAGCAACTCTTGAATCACATGATGATGATATAGTAAAGGAAATCTATGTTTTATGCAAGAACCTACACTCATTGTTTTAAAACCCGGATCAGAGGACAACCCGTTTTGCTGTCCGGGTCATGGGTCAACCGATCCAATCGATTGGACCGGTTAGTTGGACCGATGACGTATTATAAAAATTTCCCAAAAAAAGTTCACATTAGTCCCTAAAATTTTTATTTATTTCAAAAATACTCCCAAAAATTACCAATTAATCCCTAAACTTTTGACATATTACCAAAATACCCCTATAAAATTATAACCCTCATAATTTTGAAATATTACAAAAACCCCCTAAGACCTAAACCGGACCTGAGAAGCTATCGGTTTTCGGTCTGACTAGTCCGACCGGGCGGTCCAGTTTGGTTTTTAAAATAGAGCCTACACTACAATAATATATATATATATATAGCTTGATGGATCTTTTTTCAAACTCTTAGTCCATAATCTTCTTACGATATATCAAATATTAGAATTGATTATGTTATTTCATAACTTAAATTTAGTACATATGACTTAAATCACAAACTTGGGACAAAAACTTCTCTTAGATATTTTTAGAGGTGGCGGTGGGTCATGTCATGCCATGCCTAAAAATTCAAGGCCCATCATGTCGTGGGCTGTGTCGTGTCAAGGCCTGCAAAAATTTGTGTCCTGTCGTGCCGAGCAGGCCCACCAAATTTTAAGACCCATGGCACGACCAGCCATATATCGTGTCATGCTTTGGGTCGTGTCGTCCGGCGGCCCACGTGCTTTGTAAAAATGTTTAATTTTTAATATTTATAAATTATGGTAATTTTGATTTATTATTAATAATTATTATAAAAAATATTTTATATGTTATATTTGGTGACATTTTGTATTTATATTAATTAAAAAAAATATAATCACTATGAAATATAATAAAATAATGAGACATTGAAATATTAATTTAATTTTAACACTTTTTATTACTTATAAGTTATAATTATAATTACAAATACAAACTTAGAAATTAGGATTAAGAATTATTATACGTCTTCATTTTCATTAATTTCTACATTCTTATAATTTTTTTATTTTTATAATTTATAATTTATATTTTTTTCGTGCCGTACCATATCGACTTACGTGCCTTTTTTTAGGCCCACGACATGATTCACATATTTTCGTGCCATGTTGTACCATGCTTTTTTTTACCGTATTTTGCCATGTCGTGTTTTTTTCGTGCCGTGCCGGTGCCATGCATATGCCGGCTCTCTAGATATTTTGGATTGGAGGGAGTGAATTTTATTCTGCCGAGGAAAGTACAAGCTTACTTAAGAGTTTAGGAAAGTCACAAATACATCCAAAAAGTTAACAGATTTTGAAAACTTTGTTTCAAAACGCTTCAATACGCTTTGTCTTATTATACTTCCTCCCATTTTATTTTATTTAAATTTTATTTTAAGTAATCAATCTAATTTATTATGTTAAAGTAAAATCGGATCAGACTATGACCCATTCAAGGGTCTGGTTTTCGATTTGACCGATTGGAAAGGTCGGTTAGACCGTATCTTGTAAAATTATTTTTAGTTTCTAAATGTTTGAAATTCATCAAAAACATCCTTATAATACTCCCTTAAAGTTTAAAATCTATCCAAAACACTCCTGTTGTGTGAAGAGACTGGTGAGTGATGGCGACAGCGACGATCAACGACTAATTGACGTTTGGAATCATGGGGCTTTTGATGTATAGTTGCCAGTGACTCTTATGGTGGAGTTAGGGAGTTCTATCGGCGTAGGAATTTGCCAGAATCAAGAAGAAAGTCGAACGGTCGTGTGAACTATAGGTGGATATCGAGCGACGAAAGGATGGACGATGACCACTAAAAATGGATGGGTTTTGTCGTGAAGATGCCATTAAGTATGATGGTGGTGTTTTCTCCCTCGAACGATGTCGGAATCCGACGGGATTGAGTTGCGATTGGACTGTGATTCGGCACTATTCCGATGGTCCAACCGCGGCTCAATCCGGTTTGATTAAAAATATCGATTTTCAGAGGACATCGGACCGGAGATGCCGCCAGCTCCCGGTCGAACTGGTCCGATCGAACGGTCTGGTCCAGTTTTCATAACACCGGTTTGATTAAAAATACCGATTTTCAGAGGACACCGAACTAGAGATGCCGCCAGCTTCCTGTCGAACTGGTCCGACCGGACGGTCTGGTCCAGTTTTCATAACACTGGTTAAAGTATTAATTAAAATAAATCCTAAATATCATATCCAAAACTCATTTTCTCCTTCCCCAACTCTTATTTCGGTCTGTACATATCATAATTAAAATAAAATAGAATAAATAAAAATTAAAAATAATATAATAAAAAGACAAATATGTGGCATAGTACTAATGTTTGTAAAATTTTTGGGTGGCTTCGAGTTCCTCCAAACTTTGAGGAGTAAATTGTCGTAAACTCCTTAGGGTGGCGGAAAATCTTCGCTGCTATGCTACAAGCTATGACATATTTGACATCTGTTAGTTTTCGACTTTTCCTACCCCCACCGACACACTTTATATCACTGAGTAAACAGAAGATTACAAGTAATGAAGAGATCTGATTCATAGCTTCAGTGAAAATGGTGATGGATTTGCAGTGGTTCAACTTTGCTCCAAATGGCCAGGTCCAAACCTTCGTAGATTCCTTCATCAATCGAACACTTCCTTTCCATTTTTGGGACGGGGATATTGGGGAAACAATTATTCTTATGGTAATTATACAAAAACTTTTCAATTTTTGTTTTTGTTCATGTGGGTATTTGTTTTGGTAGTTTTATTTTGCCTTCTCTGATTTGTTTTGTTTGGTGGTGGCTGTTTGAGTTGCGCCATGATTTATTGTATGGAGTAAATGCTTGTGGGTTGTATCTTTGTGCTTGGAACTCTTTTTTTTCTTGATTTTGTCCTCAAGTTTGAGTTGAATTGTATTATATATATTAGAGTTGTGTTTAATCTATTTACTAAAATTCTATTCTTTGGTTGTTACCCTTTGGATCTCATTTCTCATTGACTGTTTTGTTATAATTTAACTTCAATATCTTCTTAGGATCATGGTGTTGCTTCTTTTATTGAAAATATTAGCTTGTTTTGCTTTGTTAATATTGTAAACTGCGGACAAAATGCTTGTACCTTGGTGTTCCTTGGCTGTGCCTTTGAGTTTGTTGTGGATTGTTGAAATGTTACTTTACTTTCTTTCATGGTATCCTTGTCAGTTCTATAAGTATCTGTTTTGGTTGTAGTTACTGAAGGGATGCAAATTAGTTTGGACTGTGCAGCACGAAATATTGTTACTGAGGCATTGTAACTCAAATTCAGCCGTTTCTAGAAAATATGTTTTGAGTTTTTTTAACTCAAGAGGAGGTACTCTTTTAGTTTTACTATATTGATCAGTTTCTTATATATATATATATGAATCTTTCGCTTTGCTTTTCATTTAAAGCCTTCACCCTTAAACGATATTTTGGTAACTCTATTTGATGCATTCGTTCATCTTTGATTGAAGTTAGCATTCACGTAAAACATTTTTTAACTCGGTGGAAAAGTGAATTTTATATGTGCTCAAGGGCTTCTTACTTTTATCGAAGTTTGCATCCGAGCCAAAGCTGTGCGCTAATAATTGTGGTTCCTCTGTTCCAGCAGCCAACTTGAACTTCTGTACCAAGTGCTTTGAGGATCTTCTTGTGGAGGAACAAGCTGCCATAGCAAAAGCAAAAATGGAGGACTCGTTCAATTCAAAGTCAACAAAGTAAAGTGAAATGCTGCATCATTTCCTCATAATAGGGAGTTTGTTAATTACCATTTCTGAACTGATAGTCATTATTAAAAGAAATGGTCTAGCCAAGTCGATCAAAATGAAAGATTTGTCACTTACAGTTCCTGAATTGATATTGATATAAAAAGATATGATTGGGTTTAAGTTAGAAAAATGAGGGTTCATTGACAGTACTTCCACTCTTAACTATCTGTTTAGGGAGTAATCTAGTTGAGCAGAGTAAAGCTTTGAGGTGTTTAAGGTGCAAAAAGAAATTAAGTTGGAGGGATGAGATTTAAGCCTAAGTGTGAGGATATTTTTGTGGAGTTCACTATCTTTTGGAAAACCATGAATATCCATGTGATTTTAAGGGACATTCGTGGTTTTCCGAAAGACAATGAACTCCTCCCTGTGATTTTAAGGGTATTATGTAGCTGCACTCTGAAAATGCTGATTGATTTGTACTTCATCTCTGCACCACCATGGCCGGGTGAAAACCTGCTACATTCATATAGCACTTTGTAATCTATATCCATCCTTAGAAAGGGAGGTCCTGGGAAAACAAAACATACTCCAGTAAAGTTTTTAGCTTATCAACTTTTTTGTTTTCGTATTTAATGTTTCTTTTTTCTATGTGGGAATAATCTCTTTTCCTTTCTCTCTTTTGTTGTTTTATTCTTTGATTTCTTTCCCTGGTGAGCTTGCATTTTCATTTTGTGTTTGGTTGTGCCTTGCTTTCCATGTCAATTTGTTTCAACATTTTCTTCAATTTCTTGATTGCCATTGAGTTGGTGATAGAGCATATAAGTTTCTCATGGTCTGTGTTGTAATGTGGTGCAACTTTGAACGCATAAAGGAAGCTAAATCGAATGTCAGGTTACTTTTATATATATATATATATATATATATATATAACTTCTTCATATTTTATCTTCATATAAGCATTTTATCATCATTTTTATGATCTTGCCCCATTATGGTATCAGAGTCAAGTTGTTGTCGAAATAATACACTATTTTAGATTCATTGTAGCAAGTGTTGTGCATATTGCTAGAGCAACTTAATGTTCATATTATTGTTCACTCGTGACACTTGTTTCCTTAAGTGAACTAAGAATTAGATAAATCTAAAAGCTTTTAATCTAGAAGAACTCTAGGATCATTTCTAGATTATGCTTTGGTCAGCTTGGAGGGTGCGCTTGGTCAGACGTGTTAGGTGGTCTCGTATTCTAAGAAAAACTAGAACTTGTAAGTTAGAATTATTTTAGAAATGTCTAATTTCTTAAGGAGACTAGGATATAGAAGTAGACGAGATGATAGTAGTAGTAATAGTAATGTTATTAGAATCAACAATCAACAACAAAATGTAAACTGAAAATTTATGTTTAACCAAGTTCATTAAAACTATGGTAGAAAGTGTTGATTGTGTTCATTGGTGCTTGTGGGTACGGTTATTCAACATACTCATCATATCAATCATGAGCATAGAATAAACACACAAGCATATTTACATGGTTCAGTTAACAACCTACATCCATGGGACTAAATCCAGATGAAGCAAATCTACTATAACAAACATTCAAAGTTCATTACAAAGTTAAAGATAAGCAAACAAATGTAAAACACTCCCTGTTTTCACAACACTCTTAACTTCACCTTTTAGTTAATCCAATGTCTTGCCACGGCTTGCTTGAATCCAAAAAACCTCTTGGATAGCTCGAGCTCCACTCAAGCTTCAATGTCGAAGACAATCTTTAGCTCTACAGTTTGAAACCTTTAAGCATTCATCAATAGAATCATGTTTCAACGCACAAACAACCAAGATTAGATAGGTATTTTGAGCATTAAAAAACAACAAAGGAACTTGACTTAAAATGAATAAAACCTTTAAGGATTTTCAAAGAGGAATATTTAGGTTCAAACGTAAATGCAAGGATGAAGAAGTTATAAAAATTTCTTGCTCAACAATCTACTAGACAGTCGATCGTCAAAGCTATACACATGTTTGACTATTTAAGAAAGTTTTCAACAACTTGTTATGATCACTTTTGAAAAAGCAAAGCAAATTTCCTAGACCACAACTGAAATATTTGACACTTATATTTGGACCATTCACGCATATTTCGGTCATAAATAAAATCCTAACAGTTAATGAAAACTCGACATCTGTACTAAGAACTAATTGGATGACTGTTTACATATCTGACTCTAATGTGTTCACATATATTATGATAAAATCAGACTAAAGAAATGTGCACACATCAATGCAGAATGTCATGACATGTCTAAACTAGACACATGATTGTGCTTAACCAAATAGATGTGCAAACATCTGAAATGAAAGTGCACACACAATTTTATAAGTTGACAAAAATACTTACAATCCCCCCCTTTGTCAAACTTATGAACCAAGCACAATCTTGATCAAATGATTAACAAAAACCTATCTCAAACAAAGACCAACAACAAATTATAGAGACGATAGAAACAACCACACACAAAAACAACATATCTCATGTAAACATCATTATTATCAAGCATAGAGATATGTGAACAAAAGTGAACTTAAAAACAAAATGCAAATCAGTTCATATTCACTACAAAAAAAATAAAAAAAAATAAAAAAAAAAATAAACTCCCTATCAGCAAGCACAATCCCCCTTAGTGTTTAAACCACTTCACATTCAAACAAGCATCAATTAAAAACACAAAACAGCAAGCACAATTAAAGTCACATTTAACCAACATTATCAAAAACAAAAATAAAACATCAGTTCAAATATATCAGCAATAGTTTTTAACCAAAATAAAAAAAACGACAATCTTTCTACCCATCAATTATCAATCTACTCCTTTATAATTAGCAATCAACTCCCCCGCTTTGTTCATAAGGTTTGAACCAAACCTTCAATGGTTGCTTGACCTTTGGGTGGGAGTTTTTCCTTTGGAAGTTTTACTTCTTACAACCTTTGATTTGAACCTTTTTCCTCCACGAGAACTAGATGATGTTGAAGCTTGTGGTTGAGTTGATTCAGCAGGATCTAATGCAATTGGTGTTGAGGAGAATTGTAAGTATTTTTGTCAACTTATGAAGTTGTGTGTACATTTTCATTTCTAATGTTTGTACATCTATTTGGTTAAGCACAATCATATTTTTAGTTTACACATGTCATGTTATTCTGCATTGATGTGTGCACATTTCCTTAGTCTAATTTATCGTAATATATGTTGACACATTAGAGTCAAATGTGTAAACGGTCATCCAGTTAGACCTTAGTATAGATGTCGAGTTTTCATTGGTTGTTAGGATTTTATTGAGGACTGAAATATGCGTGAGTGGTCTAAATACAAGTGTCAAATATTTCAGATGTGGTCCTAGAAATTTGTTTTGCCTTTTTAGAAGTGGTTCTAACAAGTTGTTGAAAACTTTCTTTAAATAGCTAAACATGTGTAAGAGTTTGTCGGTTGGCTATCTAGTAGATTATTGAGCAAGGATTCTTTATAATCTTTTTCATCCTTGCATTTACGTTTGAACGTGAATATTCATTTTGTTGTTCTCTAAAAATCCTTAGAGGTTTTATTCATTTTAGGTTAGGTTCCTTAGTTGTTTTTCAATGCTCAAAATACTTATTTAATCTTGATTGTTTGAGTGTGTTGGAACATGTTTCCATTGATGAATGCTTGAAGGGATTTCAAGTTGTGGAGTTGAAGGTTTTCTTCAGCATTGAAACTTGAGTGGAGCTCGAGCTATCTAAGAGGTTTTTTGGATTAAAGCAAGCTGTGGCAAGACATTGGATTAACTATATGGTGAAGTTAAAACAAGGAGTGTTTTACATTTGTTTGCTTAACTTCAACTTTGTAATGAACTTTGAATGTTTGCTATAGTAGATTTGCTTCGTCCGAACTTAGTCTTATGGATGTAGGCTATTAGCTGAACCATGTAAATATGCTTGTGTGCTTTATTTTATACTCATGGTTGATATGACGCTTATGCTGAATAACCATACCCATAAGCATCAATGAACACATCAACACTTTTCGCAATAGTTTAGTGAGCTTGGTTAAACTTAAACTTTCATTTTGATATTAGAGAACGCTTTGAAGAATTATTTTAGTANAAAAAAAAAAAAAAAACAACCTTTCTATCCATCAATTATCAATCTACTCCCTCAAAATCAGCAATCAACTCCCCCGCTTTGTTCATAAGGTTTGAACCAAACCTTCAATGGTTGCTTGACCTTTGGGTGGGAGTTTTTCCTTTGGAAGTTTTACCTCTTACAGCCTTTGATTTGAACCTTTTCCCTCCACGAGAACTAGATGATGTCGAAGCTTGTGGTTGAGTTGATTCAGCAGGATCTAATGTTGAGGATAATTGTAAGCATTTTTGTCAACTTATGAAGTTGTGTGTACATTTTCATTTCTAATGTTTGTACATCTATTTGGTTAAGCACAATCATGTTTTTAGTTTACACATGTCATGTCATTCTACATTGATGTGTGCACATTTCCTTAGTCTGATTTATCGTAATATATGTTGACACATTAGAGTCAAATGTGTAAACGGTCGTCCAGTTAGACCTCAGTATAGCTGTCGAGTTTTCATTGGTTGTTAGGATTTTATTGAAGACTGAAATATGCGTGAGTGGTCCAAATACAAGTGTCAAATATTTCAGATGTGGTCCTGGAAATTTGTTTTGCCTTTTTAGAAGTGGTTCTAGCAAGCTGTTGAAAACTTTTTTTAAATAGCTAAACATGTGTAAGAGTTTGTTAGTTGGCTATCTAGTAGATTATTGAGCAAGGATTTTTTATAATCTTTTTCATCCTTGCATTTACGTTTGAACGTGAATATTCATTTTGTTGTTCTCTGAAAATCCTTAGAGGTTTTATTCATTTTAGGTTAGGTTTCTTAGTTGTTTTTCAATGCTCAAAATACTTATCTAATCTTGATTGTTTGAGTGTGTTGGAACATGTTTCCATTGATGAATGCTTGAAGGGATTTCAAGTTGTGGAGCTGAAGGTTTTCTTCAGCATTGAAACTTGAGTGGAGCTTGAGCTATCCAAGAGGTTTTTTGGATTCAAGCAAGCTGTGGCAAGACATTGGATTAACTATAGGGTGAAGTTAAGACTATTGTGAAAACAGGGAGTGTTTTACATTTGTTTGCTTAACTTCAACTTTACAATGAACTTTGAATGTTTGCTATAGTAGATTTGCTTCGTCTGGACTTGGTCTTATGGATGTAGGCTATTAGCTGAACCATGTAAATATGCTTATGTGCTTTATTTTATACTCATGTTTGATATGATGCTTATGCTGAATAACCATACCCACAAGCACCGATGAACACATCAACACTTTTCGCAATAGTTTAGTGAGCTTGGTTAAACTTAAACTTTCATTTTGATATTAGAGAACGCTTTGAAGAATTATTTTAGTAGATCCATGCTTGATTGTGCTTGTGCCTTGTTTTAGCTTGTGTTGCATCTGTTTTGATTTTGTGCGTTTTTGAATTGATCTTCTCGTTTTTAGTGTGTCTACATTTGTTCTGTGTGTGTCCACATTTGCCTTGCACGTCTGTATGTGACCACATTTGTCTTGTTTGTGTCAACATCTGTAGTGTGCTTATTATGAACTTCTTTAGTGAATGAGGGTTTACTAACAAACCACCCCTGTTAGAGGGAACCAACTATCCTTATTGGGAACCTAGGATGCATGCTTTCCTAAAGTCTAGAGATGAGAGGGTATGGATTCCAATTGTCAGTGGTTGGAAAGCACCCGTAGTTGTTGAAGAAGAGGTGATCAAACCAAAACCAATAGAAGAGTGGACTAAGGCTGAATTAAATCTTGCTAATTTTAACTCAAAAGCCATTTATGCCATCTTTATTACTGTTAGTGTAAATTAGATGAAAATTATTGCTAACCGTTAAAGGTGCATGGAATAAACTTCAGGTAAAAAAAAAAAAAAATGAAGGAATAAACATTGTTAAGAAAACTAGGTTTAGGAGATTCATTATTGACTATGAAAATCTGATTATGCATGATGATGAAACAAGAACCAACTTTCATGGCAGAATTTGTGATGTGTATAATGAGTGTTATGCTTTGTGTAAAGTCTATACTAATGTTGAATTTATCAAGAAAATCTTATGCTCACTACCCAAGAGATTTATGTCAAAGGCGACCTCCATCGAAGAATGTCCTGATCTGGATTCCATGCAATTTGATGAGTTGATTGGATCTTTACAAACTTTCAAGCTCAATCTGAAAAGGTGGGACAAGAAATCAGGTAAAGATCTTGCTTTAAAGCATGAGATAATTTCTAATCTCCTTGAAAATGTTGATGTAACTGACGTGGATTAGGGCTGCAAAAAAAAACCGAAAACCGAATCGAGAAACCAGACCGAAACCGTTCCGGAAAACTGGTTAACCGGTTTCGGTTTCAAAAAATGGCTAAACCGGTTTTTCGGTTCGGTTTACGGTTTATATCATTTTCATAACCGGTTAACTGAAACCGGTTTTCCTTTAATCCTATTAATATAATAGTATTATTTTAAAAATCCTTATTATCCAAAATCCTAAATACCTAAATCTAATAGTACTTTGAAAAGTTTGGATCTTGAATCCCTAACTTCACACTCTAAAATACTCCTCTTCTCCTCTCAAACTCGCAGGCCGCTGCTGCCCTCTCCAGTCTCCATTGTCTCCAAGACTCCAGTCGCCGCTGCCTTCTCCATTTTCCTGTTGATTTCGCTCCTAAGTCCTTCTTCTTCAATACTTGTCTCTCCTCCTCTCGTCCTCTCCTCTCAAACTCGTCAGCCGCCGCTGCCCTCTCCACTCTCCAAGACTCCAGTCGCCGCCGCTGCCCTCTCCACTCTCCAACAACTGAAGCTTTTGGTGGTTAGGTCAGTAGGAATAGGATATTACAATGCATGTAAATGTAAACTATTTTTGTTGAGAAGAGAGATGGTCTGAAGAAAATGATCTCATGAATTTTGTAGTAGAATCTTTGGGTTTTCTTGTGCTGCTAGAGCCGTCCAGAGGTTTCTCATTTGTATTTTCAATGCCCTTGAGAATTTTGTTCAATTCCTCACCTCTCTCATTTTGTGTCCCACGTTACAGTGATAACTGATATGAAATGGAGTTTTTACTTTTTATAATTGTTTCGTCTCTTTCATTGGCGTTTTATGTATTAAAGATGAACACTTAACATCCAGTGAAGAAGTATTATTGTGTTTAAATGCGAAGACGATAACATTTATTTTGACATTGTTGGATTACAGACTTACAGAGTTAACAGTTACAGTAATGAACTCTGATAATTAATTAAAAGTATCTAATACTTTTAATGCTTTTATGAAGTAATTTTGTTTCTATTTTTTAATTTTCTTTTGCCATGCTCTTAACCTAATTTTGTATGAGTTAAAAATAAGAGTTGTTTTGAAGCTAGCTGGATCCCAATTCGTCTGTCATCTATTAATGAAACTTGTGACTTGTTGCTTGTTGCTTGTTTGGAGACACGGCTTCAGCCTTCAGTTAGGCATGATTTATTATATTTCAATCTAGCAACTTCTTATAGTCTTATTCTTAGTGAAAACTCAATTTGGGCATGAGTTAAAACTGCTCAAGTGAGTTAATGAAGTAATTTTGTTTCAATTTTTTAATTTTCAATCTAGCAACATGAGTTAAAACTGCTCAAGTGAAAAGTCACTATTCTTAGTGACTCAATTAACCAAAATAAAACAATAAGAATTTCAATTGGGCATGATTTATTATCCATCAAATATCAATAAGAGTTATAAATGTAAATGGCGGCTGTCTGTATTATTTTCTTGTTGAGAAGCATAAGAATTTCAATTGGGCATGATTTATTATCTTTCAATCTAGCAACTTCTCATAGTCTTCCTACCATCAGATATTGATACGTTTTTTCATAAGTCTCATAATGGAACTATGTTATGCAAATTTATACATATTTTCTCAAGATTCAGGGCCAAAATTAAATGGTAAACCATTTGAGGTATCCTTGAAACCATAATAGCAAGTTAGCAACTAACAAGTGTAATTTCTCAGTTTATTGTAGAGTTATCATGTAAAATAGATGATCGTAATTATATAACTGTAAAATAGGTTTGCATATAAAAAAAAGGCAATTTTTTTATCATAACATATAAAAAAAAGGCAAATTTTTTTTTATTAATAAAACCGGTTTGCAAACCGGTTAATCGGATTGCAAAATAAAAATCCGGATCGGTTTGCAAACCGGTTTATGCCAAAATCCGAACCGGTTTCGGTTTGCAATATGGTTTGAACCGAAAAACTGATTCAGTTACAAAAAGCACATATCTGATTCGGTTAACCGGTTTTTTTCAGCCCTAACGTGGATGATGATAAATGTGCCTTACTCACGAAAAACTTTGCCAAATATTTGAAGAAGAACATGAAAAAAACCAAATGTGGCTAGAAAAGGCAAACAACCTTTTATGAAAAACTTTTCTGCCCAGACTAGTCCTTACACATGTTTGGCTATTTAAGGAAAGTTTTTAACAAGTTATTAGGACCACTTTTGAAAAGGCAAAACAAATTTCTAGGACCACATCTGAAATATTTGACACTTGTATTTGGACCACTAATGTATATTTCAGTCCTAAATAAAATCCTAACAATGAACGAAAACTCAACCTCTGGACTAAGGTTTGACTTAATAACTGTTTGCACATCTAACTTTAATGTGTGCACATATATTACGATAAAATAAGACTAAGGAAATGTGTAGACATCAATGGAAAATGTCATGACATGTGTAAACTAAAGAACCAAATAGATTTGTAAACATCATAAATGAAAGTGTACACACAACTTTATAAGTTGACAAAAATATTTATATAAACAATAATCAAGAATTAAATAAATCAATATACAATCAAAAAATTAATATGGCAAAAATTGATTAACACTTACTGTATTTGTGAGAAATGATTATTCATGGAAAGCTAACACTTTCCAATGAGGTGTTTCAAAAACGTTTATCATTTACATTATTTACATCAAGATAAAACGTCAGGATGACAATAAATTATCTTTCCTCACGCATGGTCTTGCTGTCTCCAGCATCCTTCGCTTTTGGATTACTTGTAAAACATTCAACCATGAAAGGGTGATCACTAATTGCTCTGTAAAGAATGATCCAATCAATATCAAGTATGTTATTTGACATTCATTCATACACCACATTTCTTTTGCATCTAGGTATGATTCCTTTTCTTTACTAACTCATATTTTTCATCATCTCCCATGGTCATATAAAACATCAAGTGTACAAATACAAACAAGTATGTAAATCTTGTACACATACATCTCGTGTCATGATATAACATTTAAATATCATCTACCATGAGTATAAATCATCTCATGATGAAAATAACATTATAACTCATATAATGCAACTAAATGCATATGAATCATGTAACGTCTAGTCGATTGGACTTTTCTTAGCGTCTTAAGCATTTAATATCATCTAGCCTCAAATTCGTCTAGAGCTTATATCATTTGTAAGTGTGCTTACGCGTTATTTAGCATCTAAAGCATATATTCATCTTTCCTCAACTGATATATGAGGATATGCTTACAAGTTTTCCATCATGTCTATATGTATCTCTAACATCTTATGACATTTAAATCCATATTTTAGTGAGCTTAATACATTTGATTCATCTATGGATTATCAATCCATTTACATTACCTCTTGCTCACATTCATCATCTTAAAAGAACTAGACTAGGTTAGTGGTTGATATATGAAACAAGGAAGTGGTTTGGACCTAGGGTTCATGAAACAAATTTGTTTAGCTTTAGGCTTGGATAAATAATCTGCAATGGTATTGGTGTGACCTTTGATGTTTTGGATGGTGAAAGAATACTTATTGAACCATTTTGCTCATCAGAGTAATTGCTGATGTGGAACCTTTTTCTTGTTGAATCAGAGCATTTGATCAAAAGATTTCATGTATGTTTCAACAAAGAAATGATGGCTAACCAGATGAAATTCAAACCTCTCAATAGCATTTTTTACTACCAATATTTCTTTGAAAGTAGAATGATAATGTTGTTAATGTAGTTTAAACTGTCCACTCTGATATCCACACAAACGTTGTACTTTATCATTTTATTCAAAAAGCACTGCATCCCAATGGGTGTCACTAGCATCTGTTTGAAGAATTCGTTTCCCAGAAGAGGGAATCTTCAATGACTGTGTAAGGAAGGTTTTGCACTCAAGACTTTTAACTACATTTGTTTGCTTGTCAGACCATGAAGGAGGATTCTTCTTAAGCATCTGGGAAAGTGGAGAGGTAAGTTGAGAGATGTTCGGGATCAAACTACGCATGTAATTGGCAATTCCCAAGAATTGTTTTATTTCTTTTTGAGTGGTGAGAACATCTGGGAATTTCTGTAACTCATTAGCAATATGAGGATGGAGGTCATACTTGCCATCAGCAATGACCATACCAAGAAAATCAATCTTTGTCTGTCCCAGCTGTATTTTCTTCTCAGAGAGCATAATACCATAAGAGTGTATGATATCAAAAAATTTGCGAAGAAGATAAACATGAAATTCTTCATCTTTTGAGAAGAGAAGGATATCATCAATATAGATAAGACATGTATGAAGAAATGAAGCAAATATCTTCGTCATGACTTTCTGAAACATAGAAAGGGCTACCTTAAGACCAAAAGGCATAACTGTCCATTGGTAATGTTGGTTAGGAATGCAGAAAGCAGTCTGATGACGATCATCAGGATGAATCCCAAGTTGCCAAAATCTAGCTTTGAGATCAAATTTGGAAAATATCTTTGCATTATGTAGATTTGCAAAGAGAACTTGTCTGGAAGGCAGAAGAAATATGTCATCATGGAGAAAGAAATTCAAAGGTTGATAATTGATAAAAAGTTTGAGCTTTCATCTGTTTTTTTCAGCATGTTTATTGACATAAAATGCCTCACATGCCTATTGAGAGTCTATGGATTCAATCAATCCTTGAGATAAAAGTTGAGTGCATTCTTATTAGTTTACGCTGAGATGTTCTGGTGACATACTAGATGACTAACTTTAGTGAGATTGATATCTTCACTTTTGATGAATGGAAGATAGATAAAGAAATAAAAATTCTTCCATAATGGATGAGAACATTTAAGAAGAAAATCTGCATGAAAATCTGCACAAGAGCGGGAAACAAGCTGGGCTTTGATTTGCTCAATGGGATTACTTTCAATTTGAAACAAATTAGACTGAGTGGTTCAGGATTGGAAAAACATCTTATACCGAATACCATCAGGGAGATTCTAAGTTTATTGAGTTTTGAATAAACATCAAAACCTAGAACCATATCTTTGCCAGGTAAATCGGAACCAAGAACTTTGTGAAAAGTAAAACATCGTAGAAAAAATTGGATTTTAATGAGTTTGCTGATTAGATGAGTAGTGAAAGTGTCACAATTACCAGTGTAGAAAACTTCTTGATGAGGTTTCCTGATGAGGTTTCCACTGAGAGGATGGAAGGATCTTAGGATTGATAATAGTGCGAGTAGCACCAGTATCAAAAAATCTTCCATGACGAAGACTCATGGCACGTTACAAACTTGTTAGGTGATTAAAGATCTTTTACAGTCGAACTTGCCTAGACAAAATTCTACGTATCTTAAAATAAATGTTTATGTCCTTTATGTTTATCTGAAAAATAGATGTAGACTATATAGAAGTTTGCCATCTCAAGTAGAATATCTCTCGTGTAAAATACAAGAGTTAAATATTGTAGGTAAGGTTAATTAAAAAAAAAAAAAAAAAAAACTAAAAAGTCAAATATGTCAAGCCATGTATTAAATGTGTATTAAATGTAAGCTTTTGGTATTTCTCTATAAATAAGAGAATTCTCCTCATTGGAGGAGGAGAACGTATTTTGTAAAATCTATCTTGCATATCTTCTTTCCATGTTTCAAATCTCTCTTGCACATTTTCTTTCCATGTTTCTTTCATACCTTTTCACTCTCTTTTAACCTCAAGGATATAGTAATATTATGATAATTGTAAGAATAGCAAAAAGATTTCACATATTATCTTTATTTATGTTTTCAATGCGTTTTTATTTCCATTAGCCCTTTTAGATG